TGTCGAAGCCACTCGAACTGCCTGCGCAGCTCCTCTCTCTGAGACTGTGGTACCCACTTCTCCAAAAAGATAGTGGAGAACTCCTGCCATGACAAAGGCGCTGCGCCCACCGGCCTACGCCGCTCATACGACTCCCACCATGTGAAGGCAGCCCCCGTGAACTAAAATGCGGTGAATGCTACCCCGCTGGTCTCCAAAATCCCCGCTGTCCGAAGTATACGCTGACACTTGTCCAGAAATCCCTAGGCATCCTCGCCCTGAGCACCACTGAAAAATGGAGGCTGGAGCCTACTGAACCTCTCAAGACGACGCTGCTCATCGTCTGGCATAACTGGGACTACAAAGGCCTGAACTGGTGCGACTGGCGCAACTGGGGCAACTGGTGCAACTGGCACAACTGCCTGAGCTGGGACTGCTCCCGGTGTCTGTAAACCCTGCATAACCTGCTCCGGTGTGTGAGCGGTGGCGGTCTGACTGCCTCCCCCGGCCTGAGAGGTAGCCGCTGTAGCAGTGGCTGAAACTACCTGGGCTAGGCCAGTGCAAACTAATAGTATCTGAGCCAAAGTCTCCTAGAGACCCGGAATCACAATGGGCACTGCCGGTGCCTGTACAGGTGCTGCTGGAATGTTTGCAGCTGGGGCCTGATCCTGAGCCGGAGCAACTGGTGGAGCAACAGGTGCTGCCCTCGCGGCTCTGCCCCTACCACGACCATGACCGCGCCCACGGCCTCTAGTGCCCACAGTAGGTGGTACCGGTGGTCGTCCGCCTCGTCCTGTAGGGCGGGTCCTCGCCATCTACGAGAGGATAGAACACAGAAGTTTAGTTCTTGGATTCAACAAAGTCGCACGACAAGGATTTCAAGAATGTGAGGTTTTTCTAAAGGTTCCGCAGCCTCTCGAGGATAAATACAAACGTCTCCGTACCGATCCGCGAGACTCTACTAATCCTGCTCATGACTCGTGAGACCTAGTAACCTAGGCTCTGATACCAACTTGTCACGACCCAATTTCCACCCGGTCGTGATGGCGCCTCTCGTGAAGACAAGGCCAGCCAACGGAACAATCAACACTGCTTTTGACAATTTTTTAGCATAATAGGTTTTAACCATAGATGCTGATTAATCATAAGTACGGAAATAAACGTAACATAACGGGGAAAATTCATCCCAAACTCAGCCCGATGATCGGGGTGTCACAAGTCACGAGCTATTACAGAGTTGGTGGAAATACTACAAGTCTGGAAACATAGTCTGAAGATGAATAAAATATGCAGAAGATAAGGAAGAAACGGGGCTGTGGACGTCGACAGCTACCTCGTCTCTGCTGGTCCGCCTGGTCTGGAGGGAAATCAGCGCTCAGGTACGAACTCAGCTGTGCCTGTCTCTGCACACATGGTGCAGGAAGTAATGTGAGTATTCCGACCCAGTGAGTAATAAAATTAAATAACGACTGAGAACATAAAATCCCACAAGGGCACAAATAATGCTATCTCAAGCAGCAACATCAGATAAACAGTAGAAACCAGTGAAATATAGGAAGAAAAAATCTCTTTGAAAACAATTAATAAAACAAGTATGCTCAAGTATGGTCAGCCATTGTTACCTGACCGGTTAGCCATTGTTACCTGACCAAACGTGTATTACAGTGCCATTGTTACCACTGGTCTGTCATTGTTACCTGACTGGTCAGTCATTGTTACCTGACCAAACGCGTATAACAGTGTCATTGTTACCACTGTTCAATATTTAATCACTCTAGATGGGTACCCGCGCTCACTGTGGGTGTGCAGACTCCGG